AGCCCACCAGGCTCCCCTGTCCATGGGATTCTCCAGGCAAGAATACTGGAGTGGGTTGCCATTTCCTTCTCCAGGGAATCTTCCAGACCCAGGGATCGAACTCATGCCTCCTGCACTGAAGGCAGGCTGTTTACCATCTGAGCCACGAGGGAATCCCCTAGATGAGTGGTTCTCAAAATGCGGTCCCCAGACAAGCGGCATCAGCACCACCTCAGAGTCTGTCAGATTCACGCAGATGCTCAGGCCCCACCCAGACCTGCTGAATCACAAACACCAGGGGGTGGAGTCCCGCCCTCAGGCGACTCTGAAGCCGCTGAAGCGGGCAAACCTCAGGAGAGCCCGAGCTTCCCAGGGGCATGGACGTGTCCAGGTCTGCTATTCCAGAGGGAGCCCGTCTACGCCTCCCTGCTCACTGGGGACAGAGCAGAGCTCCCAGGACAGGCATGTCTGCAGGGAAGGCTGCGGGGAGTGGAGACAGCCGCCTGCCCACTGCTGTGCCAACCTCTCCAAGGTTCTGGTTTGGTCTGTCTTGTGCCAAAATAGCCCCCCAAACCTGACCAGATCCTTATGCATTTCAACTCAGAGTCCCAGGACTGCAAAGCCCAGTGTGGAGTGTGCTTTCCTTATTAGCTTGAAGCATAGATCAAATACCCCCGGACTCACAAAAGCACCTGCAGGGCTGGTGCTAATGATGGCTCTGGATGAAATAGGGAGTCGTTTAGGGTCCCCACTGAGCTGACTTGGACTTTGTGTTCCTGCTGCAATTCCGCTCATCTCCTGGGGATCATGAGACACGCTGAGCCTTCCAGCCCCTGCCGCCACCCCTCCGACCCTGCACCCACCCACCCCTCACCCTCCGAAGCTCCAGCTCCCCTGACCCAGGAACCAATCTTCTCTGGCACTTTCCAGCCCGCTCTCCACTCATGGACACACGTTGCCCTCAGCATTTGGCACTTCCAGGGCTCTTGAATTTCTGTTTATTTTCCAACTGAAAATGCTGGTCTTCGAGAGCAGCTTCCCTTGAACTGCTCAATACCCGAGAAAGTCATCACCAGGGTGCGCAGTGAAGATCTACTGATGACAGTAAAAGCTTTGCCACAGAAGCAAGAGTTCTCATGTCACTCCTGCTGCACGAACAATTTCTGGATTTATAGGCACAGCCTTCGGAATGAGTCAGATCAACCGGGCATTTGTCCTGAGGGCTGGGGGTGAGCTTTGGGTCCTTTACAAAGACAGGAAGGTGGCATCACCCCCTGAAAACACTGCCTCATGGTCAACCTGGCTCCAAGGGACTTCACACAAGCCTTCTGCACCTGCTCCTGTTGATGAAATGGCAAGGACTGGGGCATCAGCAGAGATGGGTTCAAGTTCCAGTCTTACTTCTCATTAATAATATTAGCGTAACTATCAACGTGGGTTGGGAAGATCCCCTGGAGAAGGGATAGGCTACCCACTCCAGTATTCTTGGGCTTCTCCGGTGGCTCAGACAGTGAAGAATCCACCTGCCATGCAGGAGCCCTGGGTTTGATCCCTGGGTTAGGAAGATCCCCTGGAGGAGGGCATGGCAACCCACTCCAGTACTCTTGCCTGGAGAATCCCCATGGTCAGAGGAGCCTGGCGGGCTACCCTCCACGGGGTCACAAAGAGTTGGACACAACTGAGCAACGAAGCACAATTGACCTGGCAAGAGCTGGTTCACTCTGGAAGAATCTGGCTTCATTGACCCAGTGTCCCCCCTCCCCCTTCCTACACCTGCCCAGGTGGGTGTCCTGCTTTGGGAGGCATTTGAGTCTGAGGATCAAGAAACTGGAAACCAGACTTTCCTGGTGGTTCAGTGGCAAAGACTAAGACTCCACACTCCCAATGTAGGGGACCCAGGTTTGATCCCTGGTCAGGGAACTGGATCTTGCATGCTGCAACAAAGATGCAGTGCAGCCAGACAAGTAAATAAATATAAATTAAAAGAAAAGAAATTGGGAAGGAATTCCAAAGAAGAGCCTCAGGCATGGAAAGTCATCCAGGGAAGAAAGCGGCAGTGTCCAGGAGAAGGAGAAGTGAGCTGGGCGGCTGGGCATGATTGACTGGAGCCCTTTCATGTCTTTGTAGGCCACGGATAAAGAATGGTATTTCCTTACGTGATCTCTGATGACCAAGCTGTGCCCTCCAACAATATGAGCCTCAGGCAGAGTCACGGCTCCAACAAGGCCCCAGCGATGACCGCGAGCATTTATCACGCCATGGGAGCCAAGGGCCACACATGGTCACCTGCAGTCATAACCATGTTCCTGGGCGTCCAGGAAGCACAGAGAGGTTAAGAAGTTGCTCCGGGTCCCACAGTGAAGCGGGGCTGTGAACCCACACGGGTCCCAAGGGCTGTGCCCCGGGCCAGAAGAGACGTGGATCCCACGAGCCAGCCCTCTGCACACGGAGCCTTCCCTGGGGTCTCATCTCCTTTCCCTGGAAGTGAGCGAGGTCCAGGATCGAAAGCCTATAGCCGCCCGGCGTGGAAGCTGGTCCCCGAGTTGGCGACCGAGGCTCCTGTTTGCTCTGATTCTGCCCCGCAAGGAGCCAGCTGGGGTCTAAGCGGAGGCCGCGGGCACAGAGCCTCCGGGGGGGCTGGTGGAGCGGGTGCAGCCTCGGGGTGGGATGGAAACCAGATGGGGCTCTCAGCCCCGCAGGGTCCGCCGGCCAAGGGCCTGCGATTAATTAAGGCTGAGGCGAGCCCTGAATGGCCCTTTTGTGGATCAAAAGCCTCTGGCTGGAAATCCAGCTGACAGACCCAAGAACACCGGCTTCATGGTCTCTTACGAGAAAACCGTTCAGACGTCGTCGAGGAGTGAAGCAAACCTTTGTTCAAGCCTTTGCGTAACCACCAGAGACTCAGATTACAAAGTGGCCAGTGCTGCCCAGTGACAACAAACATCACCTCGCAAAGCCAAGGCTGCCCAGGTGCAGAAAGCCAGAAATAACACGGGACAGCTGATGCCGGAGCTCCAACGCCCACACTGCCCCTGCCTGACGGTTCATTTACTGAAAAAAGATGCACGCGCTCACACACACAGCCCACAGCTACGGACTTGGAGACTAGACAGTGCATGGACCCCCTCCACCAGGGGCATCCCCACTGAGCCAGTCTCAGTTCAGATTTTTCAATATAAAAGGCACCTGAGAACACACGTCTCTCTCGGGTTTCGCCACCAAGGCTGCAGGTTGGAATCACCAAGAGCTTTGAAGACTCCGAGGTCTGTGTCCAGGCCCCGGGTCTGGTGTAACTGACGTGCGGTGAGCCTGGACAGCAGGACATATAAAACCCTCCAGGGGTCGTGGGCTGAGCGGTGCTGCTCACTGGAATATACATCCCAGGAACCTCAGAGCGCAACCTGATTAGGAATAAGGGCCTTTGCAGATGTGTTTAAGGTAAAGCTCTTGAGACGGAGTGATCCTGGATTAGGGTGGACGTTAAACCCAATGATTAGGGTCCTTTTGGGGCTTCCCATGTGGCACTAGTGGTAAAGAATCTTCCTGCCAATGCAGGAAACATAAGAGATGTGGGTTTGATCCCTGGGTCGGGAAGATCCCCTAGAGAAGGAAGTAGCTACCCACTCCATCACCAACTCGATGGACCTGAATTTTGAGTAAACTCCAGGAGTTGGTGATGGACAGGGAGGCCTGGCGTACTGCCATCCATGGGGTTGCAAAGAGTCGGACACGACTGAGCAACTGAACTGAACTGACCTGAACCCACTCCAGTGCTCTTGCCTGGGAAATCCCATGGACAGAGGAGCCTGGCGGGCTACAGTCCGTGGGGTCACAAAGAGTCAGACACGACTGTGTAACCGAGCACAGGAAGGGTCCTTATGAGAGGCAGAAAAGAAGACATACAGAGACAGGACCAGGTCTATATGAAGATGGAGGCGGAGATCCGAGTGATGCATCCACAAGCCAAGGGATGCAAGGGCTGCGGGAGACACCAGGAGCTGGGGGAGCCTCAGGGAACCAGAAGGAACCAGCCCTGCCAGCACCTTGATTTCGGCCTCCTGAACCATGAGAAGACACATTTCTTCCCCACCAGTCTGTGGTACTTTTGTTACTCACAGTAGCCCCAGGACAGGACTCCGTGGTGACCGTCGAGTGCAGCAGAGTTTGGCTGGCGGGTCAGGACTGAAGGTGGAGCCTGGTGAGGCTGGGTGGGGCGGGAGGGCGGCCAGGTCATTGGCTGATCCAGAACACTCTGCCCGCACCCCCTGGACTGGTGGCCCCTAAGGCAGGCTGTGTGCCAGAATCCACTTGGTAAATTCCTGCTCTCCGACCCCCCTGGAGATTCTGAAGACATTCGTCTGTGCTGGGCTCTGTTAGGGGCACATTTTTAAAGGCCCAGAGGCGATGCTATTTCCAGCCAGGGTCGGGAGCAGCTGCCAAAAACCCAAGGCCAGAAGTTTTGAAAGCAAAGCTTGAAGGAAAGCTTTGAAAGCAAAGCTTGGCTGTGTCCACGTGGCGGACAGCAGGGATCAGGCCTTTAATCAGCACAATACTCACAGAGCCATTTCCCACCCTTCCTTCTCTGAATTCCCCACAGTTTTTGCTGAGTAGAGCCGCCTTTGCAGCTGGAAGGAAAGCCTCCCCCCGGGCACATCCCCTGGTGGGAGCTGACCCCAGAAGGTGTCCAGTTGTCACTTCTTCCCTTTCTGCTGTTGTTGTTTGGTTGGGTGGTTTCCGTGGGCTTTTTCCTCTGGTCTCTGAGATGCTCTGGAGGAGGAGAGCCTGCAAGCAAATCAGAAATGCCGAAAGAGCAAAGCCAATCCGGTTTCCCAGGAGGTCAAGGCAGCTGGGTGCTCGGCCACCAAAGTCCCACCGGCCGAGGGGTTAACAGAAGGTCACTGCCTCGGGCTCTGGAGGCCGAAAGCCCCATTGTCTGAGGCAGTGGCAAAGAAACTGCCTGTCAATGCAGGAAACATAAGGGAAGTAGGTTCGAGCCCTGGTTACGGAAGATCCCCTGGAGGAGGAAATGGCTACCCATTCCAGTGTTCTTCCCTGGGAAATCCCATGGACAGAGGAGCCCCCGAGGGCTGTGAAGGGGGATGTGGGCCAGATGTTTTGCTGACCATCTTGGCTTGAGCAGCATCACCCCGATCTCTTCCTCCCTCTTCACTGGCTTCCTCTCCTCCGTTCAGTTCAGTCGCTCAGTTGTGTCTGACTCTTTGTGACCCCATGAACCACAGCACGCCAGGCCTCCCTGTCCATCACCAACTCCCAGAGTCCACCCAGACCNATTGCAGGTGGCGTCCTTAGCACTGAGCCACAGAGAAGCCCTCCTACTGCACCGGGGCCACCTTGACGACCTCGCTGTGACTTGATCACCTTTGTGAAAACTGTCTCCACATCAAGTCGCCTTGGAGATACTGGGGATTAGGATTCCAACATTTGGGAGACACAGGCACCCCCTCACAGGCCCCAAGCTCACGCTCACGCCCAGACCCCAGAGCCTGGCACTGGTCCTTTCAGGGCGGAGGAGGCCAGGGCCCAGGAGGACTCTCGGGAGGCCTGAAGGCCCCCAGGCTCTGGCTGGCTCCTGAGCTGCGGGAATGAGCAGATCTGCTCAGGCTGGTCTCCTGGGACCCCTGGCTCCTGGCTTTGGTCCCAGGCTAAGGGTGAGTGAACGAGGGGGTACCCTGAGGTCATAACGGAGGTGACTCAGCTCCTCGCAGGTGTTGGGGGTCAAGGACACCTCCAGAAGGGGCTTCTTCCTGTGGCAACTGGGAGGATGATGCTCTGTGTTTATTAAGAAAAGGCACATTATACATTAATCTAAAATTAATTTACTGGGACTTCCCTGGAGTCCAGTGGTTGAAACTGATGCTTCCCATGCAGGGGACATGGGTTTGATCCCTGGTCAGGGAACTAAGATCCCACTTGCCACAGGTATAGCCAATGAACAAATTAGTTTATTGCTCAAAATGATTTTTTTTTAACAAAAGGTACATTCACTTACAACAGAGACTAGATTTGGGCTCCTTTAATGAAATAAGCTGTTCTTAAACACCCTTACCAAAAGTATCTATTTTGAGCCTTAAAAGAGGCCAGACACCAGAAAAATAAATAAAAAGTGGGTGCTCAGCTAAAGGCCACGAATGGTAGTGTTAAGCTCAGAGTCCGGTACTGATTGGAGACAAAGCCAAGCCTCGGTCCTCTGGGTTCTAGAACTTTCTGTACTCAGCACACCACTCACTGGGTCCCACCTTTTTAGGGAGTCAATTCACGGCTTGGACAACACGCTCTTCCTTCCTTTGGCCCCTCACGGACCCAGCTCCTGAACACCGACCACCTCCCCCCCTGCTATACCCCCGTCTCCGCTTCTACCCTGCATGGAGTGGGGGACGGGCGGGATGACTTCGGGAGAGGGAGGGCCAGCAGACGGCAGCCCCCCTGGGTGGTCCCTGGGCCGCCAGAGTTCCTGGGGTTTGGGCTGAAATTGTTCATGAACGGGCAACCAGCTAACTCCAGCTGGTTACTTGAAGGGTTCAATCTTTATTTTAATTCCTATGTCTCATAGCATTGCCGGAAAGAAAGAAAAGCCTCCTTTGTAGACTGTGACCCCCCAAAAGCAAAGCTTCTCTTGAACTAAACAAATACTGATTCATGGACACAAGATGGGCATCACTTACAACAGTAAAAAAAATAATCAGTGCGCTAACACCAGGAAGTTGAACAAATACACTGAGGATAACAATTTAATTCCATACACTGACAAAGTAAGTCGTATGGAAGGAATTGTAACATAGCAAAACATTTCACCGTGGGAAGATCTTCACAATACACCACTAAGCAAGAGGAAAAGTGCGTGACAAGCAGTGTGGATACCAGGCTGCCTTCCAGGATGGAAAGATTGACCCTACATCTTTGACGGCCTATCGGGGTGGCAGAAAGCAGTGTGGATGTTTTTCCTTTTATGTGATCTATTTTCTACAGTGAGCAAACATTGATACTTTCACAACAAAATAATTCTTTTTAAACAAAGTTAAAGGGAGAAAAAAGCTTCCATTCATCTCACTGACCACCTTGGTTCTCCAGGGACCTCTCCGTGGAGGAGGGTGTTTAGAAACCCAACACTCGTCAAAAGACCAGCCAATCGGAGGGGTCTGAGTTCCAAGGGCAGCCTTTGAGAGGAAACCAAAGAAAAACCATGGTCCAAGATTAGACTTTGATCTGCTCCCTGGGTGCCTGGCCCCCACGCTGCCTGAGCCTCTGACCCTTCCCCCTGGAGGGGCCCTGCCATCCTGGCCTGGAAGGCACCACACCCCCCAACTTGATGCCGATTCCCTGTAAGGCATCAGATGAAGTTTCAGCTGAAGCAGCATGTGTTCCTGGGAGAAGTGTGGAGCGTTGGGTGCTGAGGCCAAAGGGAGGAGAAGCCCTCTGTATCCAAGGCTCCCTCAACGGCAGCCGTGGGGCAGGGAGCGGGGAGCCGTCGGATGTTCTCAAATATGTAAAAGAAATCACAAACGGTTGTAGCAGAAGCCAGTGATTCTGAAACACAGTCTGGTCAAAACCGTTCTTACATCTCTGGTAGAAAACCAGATGTGTCCCTTTAACTCAAGTCTAACACACCCGCGGTACATGTTGAAGGGGTGAAGAGTGAACCCGATTTCTGCATCTCTGTAGCAACTGTATGGTAACAGGAAGTTCCCCGAGGTTCTTATCGGGACAACTGAATCAGATCTGTGGTTAAAAAGTGCATATACCTGGAGAAACCTATAATTCAAAAAGATCCATGCACCCCAGTGTTCCCTGAAGCTCTGTTTACAACAGCCACGACGAGGAAGCAACCTAAATGTCCATCAACAGACAGATGGGTAAATAAGATGCGGTACGTATATACAATGGAATATTACTCAGCCATAAAAAATGAAATAGTGTCATTTACAGACACGTGGACAGACCTGGAGGCCGTCCAACAGAGTGAAGCAGATGAGAGAGAGAAAAACAAATGTCATCTATCAAGGCTGATATGTGGAATCTAGAAAAAATGGTACAGGTGAACTTATTTGCCGAGCAGAAACAGAGGCACAGACATAGGGAACAAATGTGTGGATACCGAGGGGGAGAGCGGGATGGATTGGGAGACTGGATTTGACATATACACACTGCTGTGTGTGAAGCAGACAACTAATGAGAACCGACCGTGCAGCTCAGGGAACTCCACTCAGCGCTCTGCGGAGACCTAAATGGGGAGGAAATCCAAAAAAAGGGGGGGATGTATGTATTTGTAGAGTTGATCAGCTTTGCTTTACAGCAGAGAAGTAACATAACCTTCTAAAGCAACTCTACTCCAATAAACATTATTTTTTTTAAAAAAATAGAAGAGCTCAACTGGAATGACGGCAAGGGGCCCCCATGGACTCCGTGGCCCCACTTCTGCCTCCCCAGCGTCCATCCTTCATGCCTGAGTCTCCTCCACCAGCCTGGCCAGACTCTCCCACACCCACCGGCCTCCGCTAAGCCCTGCCTGCAACCGTGAGACCCTGGCGATGACTCAGCAGTGGCCCCAGGCGGATAGCTTCTTCCACAGTTTTCCGCAGTCTGTGCCCATGCAGCCAACTCCAGCCCCCAGCGAGATGGGATGGCCAACAGGTACAGCTTCTCCCCAGCTGACCTGCCGCTGTGACAACGGATGAAGTGCCCGCCTGAGTAGTAACCCCAAGCAAAGACCCAGGAGTTGTCAACGGATGGAGAAAGTACCTAAGAGACACCTCTCCTTGTTCCCTTCTTATTTCCCATCCATCGGAGCCCGTGGGCAGAAACCAGCCAGTACACTCTTAGGAAACACCTGTCTCCCCAGGTGAGGCAGGGCCTGTCCAGGTGAAGGGGAAGGGCGACCCATTCTGGAAGGAGCTGAGAACAACAGAAGTGGCAGGTTGCAGGGGCTTCCTGGACTGTCTGGTGGTCAAGACTCTGCACTTCCAGTGCAGAGGGTTCGTGTTCAAGCCCTAGCCGGGAGCTAAGATCATGCACGCAAAGAAAGAAAAAAAGGAAGAAGAAATGGCAGGTTGCAAGTGCTGAATTAAATTGAATAAGAAAAGTCACACATCATTCAAAGGCACAAACAAGGCACAGGGCGCTTAAGTAGACTTTCCTCAGCTTCTTTTTAACACCAGTGGCCCGTGGGCAGGTTTCCAACCATAGACCCTGGCTCTTGGTTTGACAAGAGGTCATCTTCAGACACAACCACCAAGGCAAGCCCTGTGCCCAAGGAGCCCAGGATGATGACTGATTTCCTCTTTCCATTCTTAAAAAGCCTTCCCAGAATCTGTGCTGAGCACCATTCTTATTTTAGACGCCTGGTTAGCTGAAGGCACAAGTCATATTTCTATAAGCAGTTTGGGGTTTTTTTTTTATTCTTGAATGGAATTGTTTTGCTTGTTTCTTTCACTTCCTCTTTGGGGATACCAGGGAACATGAGTTCTGCTTTTCCTGGTATTCAAAGTACGTCAGTTCTCGTCTGATTAAATGAAAAGTGGAGAATAAGAAGGTGGCTGCATTGTCTGACAAAACACATCTGCTGTGAGGTTTGGAAACTTGCGGTTTGTCACTGTTTCCTTTTGTTTTCCATTTTCCCAAAGGGCCCTTGGAATGTGAGTGAGTCTCTGCCGGGATATAAGCACCTGGTGATGCATGGCTTCGGTGGCAGGATGGGGGTCCCAGGGCCTGTCTGCCCGCCAAGTACCCCCCCCCCCCGGATTCGCTACGGCAAAGTTGCACCGAACAGCAGACTCTGGGAGAGCTCAGCTCAGCCATCAGACTGCGAGGTTTCTCTGCCCCTTTGAGACCTTGGATGTGCTGAAAGCTTTGCTGCGACAAATGAATTGTGTGCTTGAAGAGGAAGGATCCTGATCTATTCATTTATAACATCTCAGCACGATTGCAAAATGAACAGTGGGCCTTCCCTGGTGGTCCAGTGGTTAAAAATCCACCTGCCAACACAGGGGACTTGGGTTTGATCCCTGATCAGGGAACTAAGATCCCACATGCCCTGGGGCAGCTAAGCCTGAGCACCACAGCTGGAGAGACGGCCCCAGGCCACAAGGAAAGATCCCGCCTGCCACAACTAGGACTCAACACAGCCAAATAAAGAAATATCAAAAAAGTAGAGCAGCTAAAACATTTCACCCCCAAATTCCATGTCATCCAATGTGAACGGCACCATGGATTTCTTCCCTAGCCCAGGACAGAGAAACAGAAGAGCTTGGAAGGGCTGGGCACACAGGCCCAGGGTGACGCAGATAGAACATCATGTCACAGAGAGGCTCAGTAGATGAGATCCATAAACTCCAGCATCACTTTACACAGAGCCTGACAGAGTCCTTGGGGCACCAGTGACCTTTTCTTTGAAGAATGAGGCCACGTTCTAAACCTCCTTCACCGAGTCCTCATGAGCTTAAAAAAATGAGTGTTAGTGGCTCACTCAGGTCCAACTCTTTGTGACCCTGTGGACTGTAACATACCAGGCTCCTCTGTCCACAGGATTCTCCAGGCAAGAACAATGGAGTGGGTTGCCATTCCCTTCTCCAGGGGATCTTCCCAACCCAGGGATCAAACCTGGGTCTCCCCCTGCATTGCAGGCAGATTCTTTACCATCTGAGCCTCCAGGGAATCCCCCGCATGAGCTTAAAATATCAATAATGTCATTTTTAAAAATAAGTCCCCTTTGAACATTTTCCCAAGCCTCCCCCCCCCGCCCCCCGGAAGAGGCTGTTTTGTGTCGACCCCTGCCTGCTGCCCACGTCCAGAGACTTGGAGCTGCCACGTGAGCCACGGAGCTGCTCCGACAGGCGATTTTCTTCTCTGTGTTCTCTGGGTATTTGTGCTGCGTGCTCAGTCGTGTCTGGCTCTCTGCAACCCCAGGGACTGTAGCCCGCCAGGCTCCTCCGTCCATGGGATTCTCCAGGCGAGAACACTGGAGTGGGTTGCCATGCCCTCCTCCAGGGGATCTTTCCAACCCAGGGATCAAACCCCCATCTCTTGCATCTCCGGCAATGGCAGGCCTATTCTTTACCACGGCGCCACCTGGGAAGCCCACCTAAGAAAGTTCGGCAAAGCTGGTAGAATAGGAGCTCAGGACTCAGGAGCCCCTTGTGCTCTGTGGCTGAGTGAGGTTCCGGAAAGCACACGCACAGAGGTGCATGAAGATTCGGGAGACGACAGACACGGCAGGCCCAGCTCTTACCTTCCTGTGTGACCCTGGGTAATTCCTCTGTTTCCTCTGAGGAAGGGAGGTGGCTCTTCCCAGCCTGAGTCAGGACTCAGTAACATCGAGGTGTGCCCAGCACTGAGTACTAACATTAAGCATGTGCTGTGAGAAGTCACTGAGTCACGTTCGACTCTTTGTGACCCCGTGGACTGTAGCCTACCAGGCTCCTCTGTCCATGGGCTTCTTCAGGCAAGAATACTGGAGTGGGCTGGCATGCCATCTCCAGGGGATCTTCCCGACCCAGGGATGCAACCCAGGTCTCTTATGTCTCCTGCATTGGCAGGCAGGTTCTTTACCGCTTGAGCCAGTTGGAAAGCCCACCTGCCCAGGAAAGCCCATCAAGGGCCCGGGTCCTCCCCAGACCTGGTCAGCACGAGAGACCCCAGAGCATCCCCAGGGCAAGCTTGCGATTGCAGGGGTGGTGGTGGGGGGGCATCCTGCTGTCCTGACAGAGCCACCCCCAGAGCTCTCATTGGCCAGGTGGGAGAGGATAGTCCTGGGTTTTGAGCTGGTGCCAGAAAAGCTGCTGCCTTTTCCAAGAAGTGGAGCCACATACAAACGCCCTTGGAGGGAACGTGTTGCTTGATCCTTCAGAATCTCTCTGCGCGGAGGCTGCCAAGAAAAACGCTTCCCATCGCATTACAGTATGAATTTCAGAAGTGAAGCGGGGAGCGGGGTCGGGGTGGGGGAGGCTAATTCATGCACAGGACCACCAGCGAGGGAACGGCAGCGGAAAAATGAGTTCAGAGACAAGCGGTGAAAAGCGCCCGTGGGGATACTGTGACATCTGATATTAGATTGCAAAGGATTTGAAGCTCAGATAAACACCATGAGCTACCATCAGTCAAGAAAAGTGTGGTTTGCGTGGTGGAAACAGGCACGCTCACAGTAATGATCGCCAGTGGGCCTCGTGATGATGTCTCCCAGAGGAAGAACCTCGAGAGTGGGTTCTTCACTGCTGCCACAGGTGAGAGGATGCTCCTTCAAGTGACTGACTTAAAGTCTTTGGGCTCCTCGCCAGGCTCCCAGCAGGGGATCCAGAGGGGCCCAGCAGCAAAGCCCACCCACGTTTAATTTGGTTGGAAATAGAAGCATTGGGGGAAAAATTAAAAGAATATGCACATCAGTTCAGTTCAGTTCAGTCCCTTAGTCGTCTCCAACTCTTTGCGACCCCACAGACCGCAGTGCACCAGGCCTCCCTGTCCATCACCAACTCCCGGAGTTTACTCAAACTCAAGCCCATCGAGTCGGTGATGCCATCCAGCCATCTCTTCCTCTGTCGTCCCCTTCTCCACCTGCCCTCAATCTTTCCCAGCATCAGGGTCTTTTCAAATGTGTCAGCTCTTCGCATCAGGTGGCCAAAGTATTGGAGTTTCAGCTTCAGCATCAGTCCTTCCAATGAACACCCAGGACTGATCTCCTTTAGGATGGACTGGTTGGATCTCCTCTCAGTCCAAGGGACTCTCAAGAGTCTTCTCCAACACCACAGTTCAAAAGCATCAATTCTTTGGCGCTCAGCTTTCTTTACAGTCCAACTCTCACGTCCATACATGACCACTGGAAAAACCATAGCCTTGACTAGACAGACATATACATATATATGTGTTCTTGGGGCTTCCCCGGGGGCTCAGCAATAAAGAATCTGCCTGCAATGCAGGAGCTGCAGGTTCGATCCCTGGGTCAGGACGATCCTGGAGGAGGGCATGGCAACCCACTCCAGTATACTTGACAGGAGAACCCCATGGCCAGAGGAGCCTGGCGGACTATAGTCCACAGGGTCACAAAGAGTCGGACACGACTGACGTGACTGAGCACACATGCACACACACGTATGTGCTTATATGTACATGTCTGTGTATCTATGTTTCATTGTCTGTACTTATTTTATATAACAAACACATTCTTCTTTTAATCACAGGAAGACAGTACATCAGAACAGTTTTCCGAGCTTTCTGAGACGTTCTTCCAGGGTTATAACCCTCAAATTTGGCTCAAATGAAATTTTCCAATTCTTTCTTTAAAAAAAAAAGAAATAGAAAGAAAGGGGACTTCCTTGGTGGTCCAATGGTTAAGAATCCACCTTGCCACGCAGAAGACATGGGTTTGATCCCTGGTTGGGAAGCTAAGATCCTACGTGCCACACAAGGCTCAACTAGAGAGTCTGTTCATCGCAACGAAGGATCACACATGATGCAGCGAAGATCCAATGCATCCAAAGAAATAGATAGATACATGTATTTTAAAGACAGTACCTCTTTTCCTGCTATATGGAGCAAACTCTACTGAAATGATTCAAGTGGTCCAAAGGAAGGAAGGAGAACATGCTAGAAATTTCTGGAACAGCATTCTGCTCAATGGGAATGAGCTCATTAGGCAAGACAGGAAAGGCACAGAAGTGGAGTGAAGGGGACGAATCCCCCCTCCCCCACCACTCAAGCTGTTGTTCACAGGCATTCGTGTCCTTCCAGACAAGTTCATTGAATAAATCTATTTCAAATGCTGTATACACTTTTTCACATAACCTTCTATGACACCATATTCCCTATTATTGTCAGTCCTTGGCAGGCATCATTTTCAAGGCTACGTAACATTTAATCAAGGGATGTGTCTAGTAGACATGTATCCATTCCCCTACTTCCAAGCATTTTTTTGAATAGTCTCCTAATAATAATCACATAGCTATAAAAATCTCTGAGGAAAAAAAAACCTAGATGCTTCTCAAGCCTAGAGGCTTGTCTGATTTGTTTTCATATTCTTTTTTTTTTTTTTTAAGAGATGCAAGTTGAAGTTTTATTGGGGGCAAAATGAGGACTGCAGCGCAGGAGGCATCACCTGAGATAGCTCTGAGAGACTGCACCCTGTTTTCATATTCTTATCAGGATTGGGGGAAAGTGAAAGGAGATCAACACATGAATAAAGGGATGGATGGATGGTTGGATGGATAGGTGGGTAAATGGATGGATGGTTGGATGGATAGATAAATAGATGAATGGGTAAATGGATGGATGGATGGGCAGAAATCTTTACTCTTAGACTTCTTTAGACTCATAATTGTCAAACAAATCATCCTCTCTTCCAAAGGCTAGGGGTCACTTGCTGTTTCTGATATGACAGCCAGACCTCCTGGGTATTTCTTTGGGGACACAGCCTCCCCATGCTGTTTCTTGATGGTGAAGTCTCTTCTGGTTCCTAGGAAATCTGGAATAAATGATCCCACCACGTAAGCCGTGTGTTCCTCCAGCTGACAAACACCTGCTGTTTGTACTTGCTCAGACCGAGTACCAAGTGGTTAAATTGAGATGAAAACCGAGCTGGTCCCTGGACGACTGGGCAGCACCTGGACGGACAGCAGATCAAGGCTGGCTTGAAAGTGCTCTTTCGGAGGAGGGTGGACCATGCTCACTCTGGCTGCTAGGGAACTGAGCTAGGGTCCCAAGGAGGGGTGTCACAGAACTGCCCTTCGGACAGTGCCGATGTGTGTGGATGGCACTGCTGGGTGTGGAGGCTCGTGAGGGCGTCGGGACACGGTGGAAGCCGGCTGTAGAGACCAGAGGTGTCCAGAACATACCAGGCGCACCGACAGGTGGAGTCAGAAGACGGGCAGTGGGATTCCGCCGAGTTTTGGAGCATGCTTAGGCACCCTGGGGCCGCTCCCACGCTCCCCATGGAGGCCTTGGGCTGTGAAAGGGAGGTCCTTAAAAGTCAGGTCGAAACTTGGCCCCTGACATGACCATGCCCCCCAAAAAGAAAGAAGACCCGCCACCGCAGGTCAGTTGGTCCGGTGTCTGCAGCAGTAAGACGCGGCAGGACCCGGCTCCCTAACCGGCCTCCGTCTCGGTAAACATCGGGGCGATTGGCCTCGCCCTGGTTTCCGCTTCGCTCCCCGCTCCCCTCCCCGTGGCCTTCCTGCCTCTTTCGGCCCTGTGTACGTGCTCCTCTGCCGGGATCTTTCAGCTCAAAAGTTCACCAAGTAAGTGTGTTTCTCCATCGAGGCCAGGAAGTCTGACGCCTCTAAAAGTCAAATGTGCTTCTTCCAAAGATGACCTTAGGCAAGAAACAATGTGTTCTTTTTCCTGCGGTTTTAACAAGATATTGGGGAAGTGAGAGAAACAGGGGGGCCTGAAGTGGAAGTAAACTTTGTGGGGACTCAGACAAGCCTTACCAGGCTCCAGCTGAAGCAAGAAACATGAGTCTGCAGTTTCCCTTTCTTGCCCAAGGGGCCTGGGCCTGCCTGCCTGCGGGCTGGACACCCTCCGGTCTGGAAAGACATGTCCCCGATGGCGTCCAGGTCGACACAGGACCTGCGTCACAAAGTCCCGAGACCCTCATTCCAAAAGCAAAAGCATCCTCTGATTCTGCCAGCCTGTCCCCTCCCTCCGAGTAACAAAGTGTCAAACATGCAAAAATCGCCAGTGTGATTCCTTGAACAAGCAGCTGCAGGCCAGTGTCAGCATTCGAAAGTGCTGATGAAAGAGGCTTCATTCAAAGACAGGAGACAGACAGAGCCCACCCTCCCCCCATCCCCTGCTCTGCGCAGGGCCTCCCCTCCCCCCTCCACCATTAACCAGCTTTCCTGTAATTACACGGATCCCCTTCGCATCTGGTTTCCATCAGCAGCAGAAGTGCCAGCTCTCTTGCACTGGGGCCTGCCGGTCATTACGCCTGGGAGCAGGTCTGTCAGTGACACCCAGCAATCTCTGCCTGTGATGGCAGCGGCCGTGGCGGACCGCTCAGGGGACGCCCCACCCCCCACCCCCCACGTAACTGGGTGAAAAACCTCACAGAGAACCATCTGGAGACTTTCTGCACACACCTAAGCCAGGGCTGGGGAATTTGTCTCTGACATTAAGCTGCCGCTGAATCTCCCACACATCTATTTGACGAGTGAACATGATCCTTGGTACAAAACCAGGCTCCATCTGAAACCTGCAAGGGAGTTCGAAAGAGACACGGATGGCAGACTGGGGTTTCAGCTCAATCGTAGGTATGAAGAGAGAGCCTTGCGGGGACGCGGCACAGAGCAGAGCGTGGATTCTAACTTGTAACCCACCGTTTGGCGTGCAGATTCTCGAAAGTCAGATTCTAGCCTGCACGATTGCATGACCGAGGGTAGGTCTCAGAAATCAGGCAAATCCCCGTGCGTGGGGTGGCGGGGGCGGGGGGGCACCGGAGTTATTGACTAGAGGCCATCATGGCCCATGACGGCCCCAAATTGGCCTTGGGTTTTCCGGCAGCAAAGCCCTGCTTAATTATTCCTGGTGTGAGCTGACCCAGCGTGACACAGGGAGGTATTGTATGTCAGGGACCCCGAGGAAAAGGACAGGTCAAAAGTCATCCCGAGAGGAAATCTGGCCCCCGCACCCGAGGCCTCCCATCCCGGTCTCCAGGAAACTGACATCAAACAAATCAGATATTAGTGCTGTGAACCCTGAGAGAGATGCAAGCTCTGAACTCACTCAGCAACACCAGCAAACACTTGGAGTCATTTACTCCTCGGTCGTCTAAAGGCAGCCCCAGAAGACAGTAAGTGAGACAAGAAACCACGACGCAGGATCTTGGTGGGCAGTTAAGGTCGTTTTCCATGTTGTCGCCTTTACCCCCTCCAAAGACACTCACTATAGCAACAGAAGGTTTTGCCTTAGCTGTTCAATAAAGAAAAAGGCAGCTTTAAAAACTTTTTAAAAAGCTCTCTTAAATCCTTTAAATCTCTTTCAGGCTTCATCTTAATTATCTCAGGGGGGGAAAAAAGTGTCAATTGCATTAGCCAGGTCTTTTACAAAAGATGAATTGGCTGTCACAAAGTTTCTAAGTGACACTCAAAATCATAAAGCACATAATCCCAGTCAGAGCAAATGATGGCTTTCTGAAAACAAGCCTGATGTCCCCAGAAGCCTCAGAGAAATTGTGTTACATTGTTTCATTTCACAGAGGGGAGAGCAATAGCCTTCTACTTCCCAGAAAGAGCCATTTTCCTTGGTAAACTTGAGACAGACGCACCTGATGAAGAGGGGCTTCCCAGGTGGCATCAGTGGTAAAGAATCTGCCTGCCGATGCAGAAGAGACAAGAGACACCAGTTCCATCCCTAGGTCAGGGAAGATCTTCTGGAGAAGGGCATGACAACCCACTTCAGTATTCTTGTCTGGAGAATCCCATGGACAGAGCAGCCTGGCGAACTACAGTCTGTAGGGTCACAAAGATTCGGACATGACTGAAGCGACTTAGCACACACCTGATGAAGAGGTCATCCAACCCTGCAGGAAGCATCCTCTGATGAATTCATCAGAACAAAATGCTGCTTTCCCACTCAGAAGACTTGGAATTCTTCCACTTGCCTACAGCATCCTCCAGGTCTTCACTCATTCATTCTTTCATTCATTCTTGCATCCAGCATCTGCCAAGTCTTCACTCATTCATTCTTTTCTCTTGCATCTAGCAGTATTTATTGGGGCTGATTCTGGGCCAGGAACTGTGCCAAGTGCTAAGTATATTCAATACATGAGAGAACAAGGCAAGGTCCCGCTTCCATGGGCTGTCATTCTCGTGACAGGGACAAAATAATACATAAATATACACAGAATAATGCCTCAGATAGTGAAGAAAAATAACACCATGGGAGTAGACAGAGAACTATGGGCCAGGAGCCAAGGGATTTTTAGGAGGTGATGTTTGAGCCAAGACCTGAGTGATGAGGGGGAAGAAGCCAAAACAAATATCCAAGAACTTGCTACGCAGAGGGAACAGAAGTTCTGACTTGGGAATAAGCTTGTTCCCAAGTCAGGGACCAGCCAGTCCAGAAGGCTGGAGTGACCTCACACCTGTTAGGATGGCAGTCATCAATGAGACAAGGGAAGACAGATACTAGTGAGCATATGGGGAAGAGGGAACCCTTGTGGCTGTTGGTGGGACTATGAATTGGTCCAACCACAGTGGAAAACAACATGGCATTTTCTCAAAAAATTAAAAGTACAGTGATCATATGATCTGGCTTCTGGATATTTAACTAGAGGGAAACCAAATCACTGCCTCGAAAAGATATTAGCATCCTGTGTTCAGTGCAGCATCATTTATACTAGCCAAGAGATGGATACAACCTGAGCATCCCTTGGTGAATAAATGAATACATGGAATTCTGCTCAATGTTATGTGGCAGGCTGGATGGGAGGGGAGTTTGGGAGAGAATGGGTACATGAATGTGTGTGACTTGAGTCCCTTCGCTATTCACCTGAAAGTATGACAATATTGTTTGTTAATTGACTATACCCCCAAAACAAAATAAGATTTTTTTAAAAAAAGAATATGTGAGATACATAGATACACACACACACACACACACACACACACACGAATATTATTCAGCCATAAAAAGAAGGAAATCTTGCCCTTTGTAGCATCATGGATGGGTGGGCCTTGAGGACATTATGCTAAATGAAATAAATCAGAGACACAAATACTGTATGAGTTCATTTATATGCAGAATCTTAAAAAAAGAATCTCATGGATATAGCAAACAGGTCTGTGGTGGCCAGAGGTACAGGGTGGGTGAAATGGGCGAAGAGGGTCAAAGGGTACACATTTCCAGTTGTAAGACAAATAAGTTGTGGGATGTAACATATAGCAAGGTGACTGTAGTTAACCAATACTGCATTATATATTTGAAAGTTTCTAAGAGAAGAAATCTTAAAAGTTATCATCACAAGAGGAAGAAATGTGTAACCATATGAGGTGGTGAATGTTAACTAAACTTATTGTGGTGATTATTTAGCAATATATACATACATCACATTATTGTGCTGTATGCCTTGGATGAATACAATGCTGCATGTCAACTATAACTCAATGAAACTGGGGGACAAAAGGCTAGAGTGTTGGTTTCTGCTCTACAACAACACAAATCAGTCATAATTATACATATCTCCCCTCCCTGTTGCGCCACCCTCCCCTCCCACCCCTCACAGATCTTCACAGAGCGTCAGGCTGGGCTCCCTGTATTATATAGCAGCTTCCCACTAGCCATCTATTTTACACGTAATAGTGTATGAATGTCAACGCTACTGTCTCCATTTATCCCACCTCTTCCCCCACTGTGTCCACAAGTCTATTCTCCACATCTGTGTCTCCTTTGCATCGCTGCAACACTATAAAGCAATTTTCTTTCAATTAAAAAAAATAAAGGAACCAGTGAGCTGCAACATGTATAATCAGCCACACACGAAGAAGTAACTGACCTTGATTTGATTTACCTATTTTTATTGTAACAAATTGGTGTCGTGAGAATCAAATGTGAAACACACACCAAAAAAACGCTTGCTGTTGTTTAGTAACTAAGTTGTGTCCAGCTTTTTGCGACCCCACAGACTGCACCCCGCCAGGCTTCCCTGTCCTTCACCATCTCCTGGAGCTTGCTCAAACCCATGTCCATCGTGGCAGTGATGCCATCCAACCATCTCATCCTCTGTCACTCCCCTCTCCTCTTGCTCTCAATCTTTCCCAGCATCCGGGGCTTTTCCAGTGAGTCAGCTTTTCACATCAGGTGGGCAAAGTATTGGAGCTTCCGCTTCAGCATCAGTCCTTCCAATGAGCATTCAGAACTGATTTCCTTTAGGATGGACTGGTTGGATCTCCTTGCAGTCCAAGGGACTCTCGAGCGTTTTCTCCAACACCACAGTTTGCAATCCTCAGTTCTGTGGTGTAAGCAAGGTGCGAGTGTTAAGAGATGAAACTGAAAAGATGGACCGGGTCATATAACGTGTGTTGGCCATTGTAGGAAATGTGGGTTTGATTCTTCTGAGGTTTCCCTTTGTCTTTGGTGGCCAACACTTTCACTCTGATGCACTGAGATGTGGTTGTCTTCATCTTTATCTTGCTTAGGGCTCAGAGTCCTTGTGGAACACGTGATCTGATAGCTATTTTGGAACTTCTTCCTGCCGTTATCTCTTCAAATGTTATTCTGCCTCATTTTCTCCCCTCTCTCCTGCTGGGACTTCAGATCCATGCATGTTTGACCTTCCTCTGCATCCTTATGTCTCTGACTCTTTTCTGCTTTCTTCCCTTTGCTCTTCCTTCTACCTGTTTTTTCTTGTTCCAGTTCATTAATTTTCTCCTCCGCTGTGTCAAACCTGTGAATCAAAACTTAGGGTCTTGAAACTTCCCTGGTGGTCTAGTGGTCAGGCTCTGTGCTTCTACTGAAGGGTTTGGTCACTGCTTAGGGAACTGAGATTACATATGCTCCTGGTGCAGCCAAAAATCTTAAAAAAGAAAGAAAACTTGGATTTTCCATTTGCAAGATTTTCTTTCGATTCTCCCTTATAGTTTCTATTTCTCCACCAAAATTCTCATTTCATATTCATTTCCTTAAAGATATCAAGCATAGCTTTTTTCAAGCCCACCATTTTGGATTTCCGGTAGGTATGTTTCCTTTGCTTCTCAATTCTCTTTCTTGCTGTTTTTTTTTTTTAAGTACCATTGTTTTGTCTCCTTGTACACAGGTTGTTTTGATTTGATGCCAGACATTGTGTGTTGAAAACATAGAGATCTTGGAGG